CGGATAGAGTGCCACATCAGCACCAACTCTAAACATGCAACCAATGAACTAATGACACGTCAGATACATTCTTATTGGCTCAAATGCTTCAAGAACAGAGTAACAACGTATTAGAAAAAAAACCGAAACTAAAAATTAACGAGTAATTTCCCTTTTTTACCTTGACCGGAAAAGCCCCCGGCGGGAACTTGGTGGTGAGCAGCTCCCTCATCCTCCGAACAGCTTTAACATTGTTAGCCAAAATATCAAGCAAAGGAATCAACTCCTCAGTCTTCAAAGGAAAATCATCAGTTAACCAAACCGAAGGACTCAAACTCTTCACAAACTCCTTTTCTTTGATCATCCTCACAGAAGAAGCCACCGGAATCGCCGCTTCCGGTAAAGAAACCGACCTTCTCCTCCTCCTCCGAGGCGAAAACGGCAGCGGCGGTTGGTATTCTTTCTCCTCATCAACGACCACACAACTGTTCTGCCTCCTCCCTAACGATTCCGACAAACCCTCGTCCAAACGCGAATTCTGCTCTGTTTCCCCGAGTTTACGCGATTTGAAACTGAAACTCACGTTTTCGATATCGTAACCTTTAGCTTTCCATTCTCCAATGGTTTCAATCTTCTCTTGACGTCTCCAATTCTTCATCTCAACGAGCTCTGCTTTAGTAACGTCCATACCTGGACGGTACAAGCTCGACTGAGAGCAAAAACCCGCGATTTCGCTATCGGTGATCGGTTCTCCAGCGTTTTCGAAAGCGTTCAAGATTGTTTTCTCGTCTCTGTTCAACACAAGCAACGTTCCGGGAGAAACGTCGAGAAACTCGTCTCCTTCGCTAAGGAAAAGAAAGCTCTGGTTCGCGCGGCGGATTTTGAACCCGTCGAATCCCGCTAAGGAAGTATCGGCGCGTAAATCTCCGCCGCGTTTCCAGAGCTTGTAAGTGTCGGAAGGAGCGATTTTCCCGACGAATGGAATCACCGAGCTCTCGAAATGAAAAGAGATCTCCATGTAGAAATCTCTCATGCGACGGAGGACGGCGATCAGATGAGGCAGCCTCCGTCTCCATTTACACCACGCCGAACGATGGTGATGCCGGAGAATCGTCTCCTTGATCTCGGAGTTACCACCAGAAAGCGCCTCGTGCAAGGAATTCCAACCGGCAGCGTTCTGGAGCGTGATGTCAGCTCCGGCGGAAGAAATCGTCTTCGCCGCGAAAATGTCGCCGAGACGCACCGCCAAATGGAGAGGCGTCTCACGGAAAGGGACGTCGCGGCGGTCGAGAACGGCGGAGATTTTCTCGGCGATTCGCTCTTGGCTCACTGAGTCAGACTCGGTGTGGATTTGTTCCGGATCGGTTAGTTTAGGCAATGATGAGACGAGGCGAGTCAGTCCGGCATGATCACCTACAGCGACGGCGTAATGGACGGGACTGTGAGCATAATCCTCTAAGGTAATGGCCGGAATCTTCGCCGGCGATGACTTTGCCATATTTTTTCAGGTGACTGTTATAATAAAGACACTGAGAGGAGTTAGAATATAAATCTTGAACAAAAAACTATGTTTTGTATTTATGTAGTCAACAAGTGATTACTTACCAGTTATTAATCTCGTATTATTATTTTGGTTTTTCTTTAGAACTTTTTCACCATGGTTTGATTTTTTCATTTTTTTTTTGGGTCTGATTTCTTTTATATTGTTATCCTATATATATACATCTTTAAATAAAGTTCCTAAAATATTTAGTTTTTATTCAAAGTTTAGTAATCTTGTAATATATTAAATTTATCAAGACGCGTAAATGTATATCCTAAAATAAGATTTTTAGATAGGAACAACACAACGGAGAAAAAATTAGTCAATGAAAAAAGAACTAATTAATAGTATATAAATTATGTATTAGATACGAAATTAATACCGTGGTCAAAGGTTGAATAACGACCGAGGCTAATCTATAGTAAATTCGTAAATAATTGACTAAAAACTCATAAAACTTAACATTTTAATGATAAATGCATTCGAGTTATTCAAACTATTTTTTTAGTAACATTTTAAAAATATTTTGATTTGCTTATTTTTCAAGTTTATGTATGTTTTTTTTGTACTCGATACATTTTTGTTTTCGATTTTAAGCAAATATTCCACATTGGAAATTAAGTGAAGCTAATCCCCTTACTATTAAAAGGAAAGTACAATTAGTAAAAAAGCTTAGTTGTTTTAATCTTATTGGTAAAAAATTATGACATGTCTTGAAAAAAAAATGACATGTCATAAAATATGCATTACTCTATTTTTTTATAGGTTTTGCTTCTAATGATTTAAATAAATCGTCGATATTTATTGAAATTGTGGGAATTTAAAAATCTAAAGATTCAAGTGAATCTTCGATATCTATTAAAGYTTCACACATTTAAAAAAAAAAAAATTCTCAAGTGAGTGTTTGATAGTTTATATATTGTTTTGGTCTATACAAAAGACATCTYTATATACTAATATTTTGATTATTTTTTTTAAATCTAAAGAGTTGAATACATGTAGTTTTATTTAGAAGCGATTTGAAGACCATTTTATGTGAGAAAGTAGTAATCATAAATATTCTTTACTACATGATCTACTGTTTTTTAATCGGAGACTACTTAACCAGGTTTGGTTTCTACCAAATAAAAACTCGGACGTGGTTTTTAGAAGGTTTAAAATAATACCTTGGATCATTGGAGCATTAGGTAAAAATAAAATTCTCAAGTGAATTTTTGATGATTTATTCATTGATATGATCTATGCAAAAGACATATCTATATACTAATAATTTGCTTTCTTGCAAATCCAAAAAGTTGAAACGACTTGAAGACTATTTTA